AGCTCCGGCTCTTTCCTCAGAGTCTTCTTCAATGCTCGAAGAGCAACAGCGTTTTTGCGAGATGAAGGCATCCCTGAGCTTTTGGAGGTACCTTGGGAGCCAGACCCGTCGAGGAGGGCTTCTAAGGAGTTGTCCCGCCGCTTCTGAGTCGCCAGATGCTGAGTAATTGCCGTCAATTTCGTCAAGGCTGCCACCATCGGATCCACCCCCGGGTCTCCCCCCGGTTGATCAGCTAAGGCTTCGACTGCTTGAATCTCATCCTCACTTTCGGAAAGCGGATCTCTAGGCTTTGGTGCGGCAGTCTTCGGCAGGTCTGGCAAGTTCGGCCTGCCCTTGGAAGCTAACCGAAACATCTCTTCCAACTGGGCCGCAGGGATCCCGGCAGCGAGAGCGGCCTGAGTGACCGCAGGGTCCAACCCTGCAAACGAGGGAGCTGGTGCACTCTGAGCTTTAGGTCGAGCGCCGGAGACACCCTCCGCAGGGGCAGCACTTTGTTTGGCTTGCGTTTGCATTCGGAGCAAGGCTTCAAGCTGCCCATGAATTCCTGAAAGGCTGGACTCCAGGGCAGTGACTCGCTTGGTAAGGTCCTCAGGCGGCACAGACTCAAAAGAGCTCAGATCAGCACGTAGGCCATAATGCTTGTCTGCCAAGTCAGCCAAACTTGAAGCTAACGGCAAGATGAGTTGGTCCTCATCAAAAGTAATGTCCAAGTCAGCATCTCCCGATCCTTCAAATGAGATCGTCTCCTCATGTTATAACCAAAGCTTTGAATTCTCTGAGGCGGCAGCAGGGTCTCGCGAAGGAGCAACTGCCACATCACATAGCATAGGCTTTGCCAAAAAGGAACTGGGGAGCCGCCGCCGGGCCACGATCCGGTGCCAAGCCGTCTGAGGCACTGCCACCAAAAATGTCCCAGCTTTCTCTCCCACACAAATTAAGGCAACCCGAATCGGTTCCCCTGTCGATGAAATGACTTCGCAAACACCAACAGGATACTCGTCTTCAAGTTTGCCAGTCTCATTCGCTAGCACTGCACAAGCCCGCAACATGTCGGATGCAGAGGCGGGCTCACCATCGAACTCATCTGCTTCTGCCATCACGCAGGCCAGTTGAGGCCTGCCTGCTCAACCGCTACCCGAGCCTCCCACTGAGTGGGGAGGCCAATGAAAATGGACTCTCCGAGAAAATCTCCGTCTCGCACCAAAGGCTTCAAAGCAGCGAAGGAGTCGTAGATGCCCACTGGATCGTAAAAGCGACCTTCGAGATCGCGAACTAGCACGTACACTCTGGACGGCAAACTAAGCTGCCGCCGACCCGACGGGCGGGGTTGCGGCCTTCCACGCACCTTCTCAGGTAGGCTCCCACGTCACGAGCAACCTTCCTCCGAAAATCGTCTGAATACTGGCTAGCACTGCCGCGGCCAGAAGGGGTCGTCGACACTACCGGCTCAGGGGCTTGAACGGATGCACTGATGATCGAAGTCTGACGAGGCTCCGGACTCTCGGGCTGCACGTAGTTCACAGTGACCGGGACTACCGTAGAAGGCGCCGGCTCGGTCCGGCCTAGTGCAACTTGCCTCTCTAACTTGGCGACTCTCTCTCGCAGGTCCAGCAACTCAGTCCTAAGTAACACCAACTCGTCCTGCGGCAACTGGCTCATGCAAGTCGGGCTCTAGCAACAACTGAGTTTCGCAGCCAGAAAGTCTGGTTGCGCAAATGAGCAGTCCAGACTGCTCGCAGCAGAACAAGCCACTCGAACACCTGACCAAAAAGGAGTCCAAGGAGTATACCCAGGATCAAAGAGGGCCAATGAAAGTGGAGGTCTTCACAAATGCAGGGCAGAGGGGGATACGGACTATCCCGGAAGAGCGAGGCAACAGCGGCAGCCACCAAACCACTTTGCGCGGTCTGGGTAGACACGAGGCTCATGAACTTTGGGCCGCCGAATGAGCTGCGGCCAGGAAAGCATTCGATCATACGAAATAAAATGTTATAAGTGATTGTCCGTCACTGTCGATGACGCCACGAATTGATGCAATTGCTGGACATGTTGCTGCAATCATCTGAAAATTCCGTCTTACTACTGTATATCTCATTCTCTCGTTGCTGGGTGAACTACAGGTTTTGAGGATGGTCCGGAACAAAGCCTTTGCTTTCCACATCAGAATTGCAAACCTTGAGCTCTCCGGCTCAAAGGCACACAAAGGGAATCCACCAGTGTGATCTCATTTTCACTGCATCACTCATTGATCGGGACCTACATAAATATATACATACATACACACTTATTTTAGAGAATTACCCATGCTTACCCCTGCCCCCCTGTTTTATTTAGATATACTGTATTTAGAATGCATTTATACAAGCATTAATTACACTTCTCTGGCAACACCAGTTTACAGTTTACTACATCATCATGAGAAGGTTTTGATGTACAAAAACATGGTGCTTGGCAATTCTCGGGTGTTTTGAACTTCACCAGGCTAGAAAGGATAAAAAGGGATCCACCCGCGCTCCATACCTGCTTCCACTACCATATCTTGTCCATTCATATTTCTGATGCGCCCTCCCACTGCCGCACCCTGCCGCACCCCAGCTTTGGCAACAAACAAGCAACACCTCGCCCATGAATTGCACTCTACTGCAATCAAACAAGCCAACACCCAATCGATCGAACTCTACGACTCTACGAATGAATTGCCAAAGTATGCACAAATGCCTTTTTTGTGAGTGGTTTCAGCAGCATTTGCATGACACTACTTCAATCCAGCCTTAGATGTCCTGGCTATGTCTCCTTACACTTTCTGGCCTCCGTGCGCATTCTGGCCATGCTCATGTGTGTTTCCTCAACACCTGCGCGTCTCAGAAACATCAGGTTGGCGGGGACACTTGCAAGAATCAAATTTCTGGTGCAAACGGCCTTTGGTTGCGTTTCTCTCACATAAATGTACCGATTGTCTGCTGCATATTTATTTCGAACATTCTAGAAAATCGATCTTGTCTTTTTCATTCTTTTTCTGAGGCTTCCTCTCGCATAGTGTTTCTTGCGGTTGCTTGATTGGATAGTTCTTGCAACTCAGGACAGCAGCTAACCACTGTGTTCAAATCAAAGGCTCCCGTTTTGGACTCATTCTGTGAATTCTTATCGTGTTGGATTAAAGTGCATGATTGTACTGGGAAGAAGGCTTAAGGTGGGAGTGGCCAAAAAGTTCGGGTCCTACCTGCCTAACTTGGCTACCAGCTACAAGTACTTTGATAGGTGGCTGGCTGATTCCACCCAGGACCCAAAGCATATACAGGTCAGTAGAAAAGAACATTATAGAAAATTGTTTCTCACGGCAGGCATGGGCATCGAAAGCAAGCTGCTGTCAAATCTTTTACAAAAGTGTGAGCCCGGTCCGGTGCTAGAATCAAGGCCCTGAAGGAATCGGAATCGTGCCATAAAGATCCATGAAGTATGGATGATTCACGCTGCAAAATTCAGTGGAATGTGCAACAATTTGGAATCTGGAACATCCAGTTACTTGGCAAGCAAAGCACTTTGGAAGGTCCAATGTTGAGGCAGCCTTGCGCGACATGCTACAGGAGTCTCAGGTTTGGTGCAGCTGCACTTTGTTTGGTAACCTACAGGTTCGTGGCAAAGCGCCTTCAATCGAGTTTCACGCGCGGTCAACTGAGGTAGAAAAAACATGGTACGAAAATCATGATCCCAACAGCAAATCGTATGATTTACAAGCGGCGGTCTTCATATGTGGTGATGGCGGCAACCATGGTAGTAGCAGTAGTAGTAGTGGTAGTAGTCGTACCAATAACAAAGACACAGCAGTAGCAGCAGCAGCAGCGGCAGGAGTAGTAGTAGTAGTAGTAGTAGTAGTAGTAGACGTAGTCAGTAGTAGTGGTCATTCTGACTGAAATGCGGATGTCGTTCAGAGGTCGTTTTTTCGCCGAGAAATCTGGCTAAATACCGTCCATCGAAAGTGAGCAGCAGCAGCAGCAGCAGGAGCAGCAGGAGAAGGAGCAGCAGCAGCAGCAGGAGCAGCACCAGCAGCAGCACCAGCAGCAGCAGCAGCAGGAGGAGCAGGAGGAGCAGGAGCAGCAGAAGGAGCAGGAGCAGCAGGAGGAACAGGAGCAACAGCAGGAGCAGGAAGAGCAAGAGCAGCAGCAGCAAATACATGATGTACGTAGTTAAGGAGGTCGTTCCAATGTCGTTTTGGATGTCGTCCGGAGGGTCGCTCCCCAACTAAATAACACATTCCACAAAGACAAAAAACATCAGAAATAGCTGCGGTGGTGCGTGGAATTCTGAACGAAAAATCCACCCCCACTAACTTTACATCAATCCACCTTTTTTTCTGGCTCAACTGAGCCTTGCTTATCTGGTGGTATGGCATAGCCCTTGGCACTTCAGCTCTCCATACTCTGCAAAGCCCAGGCACTCTGTTGAAGCATTGCGCCAAGACGATGTTGTAGCTCTCGACTCTGCAGGTTTTGCTGCTCCAAATGTTGCGTGGTCTTGTGCTGCCTAAGTGAACTACACGGCCTCCTTTCAAGAGAACAGTCTAACAAAATGCGCACAAAATGCAAACCATGCACTTGCCTAGAATCTAGAACAATGCAGCTTCCAGTTTCCAAACAAAAAGGGCAAATCTCACCGTGACATCTTTCAGGAGGTGAATCACAAAGGTTGGAAGAAAATGACTGAATGCAAAGCACAACACCTTATTGAAAGCCAAAAATTGCAGACATTTCAGATATTTATATATGTAACCGTCGCGTGCGCAATGAACATCAATGAGCATACCATGAAATTTGCGTCTCAGCGTGGCACTCTTGCTTTATTTGATCCACCTCCTGAGGAACAACACAGAAAGAAAGGACCTCAAAGGGTAAGCCGTAAGCCTCACAATGGCTATTGCAGAATCACAGCTATCCACACGGTTTCACCTGCGTGAGCAATGGAAGCGAAACCAAGCCGCGAAACCAGTTGCGATTGTAACCTTTGTAACGTCCTTTCTCGGTGCGATTGCTCTCGAGTCGCTAGGCCAAATCCGCCACATTAGGGGTCGGCTGCTAGCAGTTCAATGAAGTTCGCGTGAGTCATTGTCAGTCATTGAATGACATACAGTATGTTCCAAACAGCCACACGTACGAAGTGGCCACAATTCATTCGGCAAGCTGTATGTTCTCGTTCGCACCTCTCCCGCACTCGCCAAACGCCACCAGACCAAAAGTGGAGCTGCTACAAAAGCAGCCACAGGTTCATCTTAATAAGCACCTTCACGGCACCGTTCTGCACAATGCGTATCAAAACATCGCTTAACAAATTTCGCCCAAGGCCCTCCAGGATGAACTATTTGAAGGATTTGAGTCCGCAATTGGCAGGGGGCCGCAAAGCAAAATCCTGGCCACCTGCCTAGCACGAGCGTCTGCACTGCAAGCCTGCCAACGATGGTTTCTGCTTGCAGGCTCGTCGGCAACCACTGGCAAATCACAACGGATACCTTGGCACTTGGAAACTCAAAAACACTTTTTGGAAACTCAAAGGGCAACAGCATAGAATTAGGTTCAAGTGGCTAGGTCCAGGTAAGTGGTGGAACTGTGGGACATGACATTTAAGGCATCATTGCGGGCATCGCTCCAGACTTTCAAGTAAATCAAAACCAATAGTTCAATTGATGCTGCAAAAGGAAAAAACCGGTCTTTTTAAGGGATTCCTGCCCGGCCACTAAAAAAAGCCGGCGCTCCACTCCGGCTGCGCGCGGTGATCAATCCACCGATGGTGGGTCAATCCAGCCGGGGTTTCCTTGTGGGGTCTCCGAGTTTTTCTCGCCCTCACCACCGCCACCACCACCAACAACAACTGCATCAACTGCAACAACATCTGCAATTACAACTGCAACAACAACAACTACTACTACTATTACTACTACTACTACTACTACTACTCCTGCTGCTGCTGCTGCTGCCACCACCACCACCACGACTGCGGCGACAACGGCGAAAACTTCTATATACTATTATTGCTATAAAAAAAATATTACAACGACTACTACTACTACTACTTCTACTACTACTACTACTACTAGGACTACCACTACAACAACTACTACTACTACTACTACTAATACTCCTCCTGCTGCTGCTGCTACTGCTGCTGCTGCTACTGCAACTGCTAGGGCTACTACTACTGTTGCTACTACTACTACTACAACTACTACTACTGTTGCTACTACTACTGCTACTACTGCTGCGACTCCTGCTACCACTACTCCTCTTGCTGCTGCTGCTACTACCACCGCCACTACCACTACCACGGCCTCTACCACTTCTGCTGCCCCTACGACTACGAATACGACTAGTACTACGACTACGAAAACGATGACTATCTACTATCTACTATCTACTACCTACTACTACTACTACTCCTCCTCCTGCCGCTGCTGCTGCTGCTCCTGCTGCTGCTGCTGGTGCTGCACTCGTACTACTACTACTACTACGACGACGACGACCACTACTACTGCTACTACGACAACTACCACTAACCACTACTACCACTACCACTACTACTTCTACTACTACTACTACTACTACCACGACTACGACTACCACTACCTACTACCACTACCACTACTGCTACTACTGCTACTACTTTTGCTTTTACTTGTCCTTTTACTTTTAGTTTTACTTTTGTTTCTACGACTATTACTACCTACCTACCTACCGACCGACCCACCCACCTATACCTACTACTACTACCACGACTACCATCCACTACCAATTACTGCCCAGGCCGACTTCATCAACCGATCACTATTTCTACTACTACCACTGCCACCATTACTGCTACTACTTCTCCTACTACCACTACCACAGCTACAACGACGACGGCTACTACTGTTGCTACTGCCACCAGCGGTACTACTGCCACCACAACTGCCACAGCGACAATACTAGTACCGGTGCTACAACGACGGCGGCGGCGACAATGACCAACACAAACACCAATCTTGCGATGCAGTAGCGCAACTACTGCCACGGCTACTGCCAGTACTGGTACTTGTTGGATCTTGTTGGCCTGTTCTTTTAATTCCGAGTACCTATTAAAAAAAGGACCCGTATTTAAAGAGAGCTCGAAGTTATGCGGGTGTGGTTTTTACGCGTTTTTGTCGTGTTTTTCTTAGATTAGAGGAGATGACCTGATGATGTATGATGTGATGTCGTGGACTTGCTGGTAGATGATGGTTGATGTTGACATTTTTGCTAGACACGTTCTTCAATACAACCAACATTTTCCAAAAATCGCAGAAAACCCCAAACCACAAAAACGCGTAAAAACCACACCCGTATAACTTCGTTTTCTCTATTTAAATTAGTTTACTTCGAGCGATCCCTACCATGACATTTCACAACAACCACGTTGACATAACCCTCGTTGTGTATTTCAGCCCACAGCACAAGCTCTTCAGCGCCAAGTCTTGTCTTGTCCGAAGCGAATGCTTTCATCAGGAGACCTGTGCCCAACTAATACAACTTAGATCATTTCAACTGGGAAACTTCCAGGGCCGAGCAGTAGTAATAGTAGTAGTAGTAGTAGTACTGCGGTGGTAGTAGCAATATAGTGCACAGATCGGGGGCCCGACCTTCAGGGCCCGAACCTTGGAAACGTCCGGGGCCCTAGTAGTAGTAGTAGTAGTAGTAGTAGTAGTAGTAGTAGTAGTCGTCGTAGTCGTAGTCGTAGTAGTAGTAGTAGTAGTAGTAGTAGTAGTGGTAGTGGTAGTAGTAGTAGTATTAAAAGCAGTAGTAGTCGTCGTAGTAGTAGTCGTCGTGTTAGTGGTAGTGGTAGTGGTAGTGGTGGTGGTAGTGGTGGTAGTAGTAGTAGTCGTCGTAGTCGTAGTAGTAGTGGTAGTGGTAGTGGTTGTGGTGTGGTAGTAGTAGCAATAGTAGTGCACAGTTCGGGGCCCGAGCTTCGGGGCCCGAAACTTGGAAGCTTCCGGGGCCCGAGTAGTAGGAGTGGTAATACGTACATTGCTTGCTGTAGGATGTTGCCTGTCTCAAGTCTGTTTGCAAACAGCTGCACCAGCAGATATGGAATTCCGTCCGGCCACAGTGGTTGTGCGTTTGTGGTTGTGTGCTGTGGTTGTGTTTGCGGTTGTGTGTTTGTGGTTGTGTTTGTCTTTATGTGTTTGTGATTGTCTCTTTGTAGTTGTGTTTGTACTTGCGTGTTTGTGTCTCTGTGTTTCTGATTGTGTTTGTGGTTGTGTGATTGTTGTTGTGTTTGTGCTTGTGTTTGTGGTTGTGTGTTTGTGGTTGTGATCGTGGTTGTGTGTTTGTGGTTGTGTGTTTGGGGTTGCGCGTTTGTGGTTGTGTGTTTGTAGTTGCGCGTTTGCGGTTGTGTGTTTGTAGTTGTGCGTTTGTGGTTGTGCGTTTGTAGTTGTGTGTGGTTGTGTGTTTGTGGTTGTGTTCGGGGTTGTGTGTTTGTGGTTGTGTGTTTGTGGTTGTGTGTGTGGTTTTGTGTTTGTGTGTTTGTGGTTGTGTTTGTGGTTGTGTGTTTGTCGTTGTGTGTGTGGTTGTGTGTTTGCGATTGTCTCTTTGTAGTTGCGTTTGTAGTTGTGCGTTTATGGTTGTGTGTTTGTGGTTGTGTTTGTGGTTGTGTTCTGTGGTTGTGTTTGTGGTTGTGTGTTTGTTGTTGTGTGTTTGTGGTTGTGTTTGTCGTTATGTGTTTGTGATTGTCTCTTGTCAGATTATTGTTCTGTTTGTGGTTGCGTGTTTGTAATTGTGTCTGTGGTTGTGTGTTTGCGATTGTCTCTTCGTAGTTGTGTTTGTAGTTGTGCGTTTGTTGTTGTGCGTTTGTGGTTGTTGTTGTTGTGCGTTTGTGGTTGTGTTTGTGGTTGTGTTTGTGGTTGTGTTCTGTTTGTTGTTTTGTGTTTTTGTTTGTCTCTTGGTAGTTGCGATTGTAGTTGTGTGTTTGTGATTGTGATTGTGTTTGAGATTGTGTGTTTCTGATTGCGTTTGTGGTTGTGTGTTTGTGCTTGTGTTTGTGGTTATGTGCTTGCGGTTGTGTTTGTGGGTGTGTGTCTGTGGCTGTGTTTGTGGTTGTGTGTTTGTGGTTGTGATCGCGGTTGTGTGTTTGTGGTTGTGTTTGTGGTTGTGTGTTTGCGGCTATGTGTTTGTGGCTGTGTTTGTGGTTGTGTGTTTGTGGTTCTGTGTTTGTGGTTGTGTCCTGTGGTTGTGTTTGTGGTTGTGTGTTTGCGGTTGTGTGTTTGTGGTTCTGTGTGTTGTGTTCTGTGGTCGTGTTTGTGGTTGTGTTTGTGGTTGTGTTTGTGGGTGTGTGTTTGTTGAGGTCCAGCGGTGCTCACTGCGATCATACCCTGGCGGTTGAGGTCCAGCGGTGCTCACTGCGATCGGGCCATGGCGGTTGAGGTCCAGCGGTGCTCACTGCGATCTGACCCTGGCAGTCGAGGTCCAGCGGTGCTCACTGCGATCGGACCCTGGCAGTTGAGGTCCAGCGGTGCTCACTGCGATCGGGCCATGGCCGTTGAGGTCCAGCGGTGCTCACTGCGATCGGACCTGGCAGTTGAGGTCCAGCGGTGCTCACTGCGATCGAGCCCTGGCACTTGAGGTACAGCAGTGCTCACTGCGATCGGACCCCGGCAGTTGAGGTCCAGCGGTGCTCACTGCGACCCGGAGCTTCGTGAAGAAGGTTGGCGAAGAAGTTTGGCGACGACGATTGGCGCAGAGGATGGAATGGAGGAGGAGGAGGAGGAGGAGCACCCAGCGGAATAGGAGGAGAAGGAGGATGAACTCTGATAAAGTCTAAGAATCCTCACCTGGCAGGTGGGGAAAAAAGTCATGTCGGAAACCCCTAAATAAGGATGATAATTCGTTTTTAAATTACTGCCCTTTCAAGCCGCTACTAAACTACCAACATTGCCGATTTTAGGAGGAGTTCTTTTTTAGGTCCCCCCAAAACTCACTCTTGACTCTTGACCTAATAGTAGCGGCGGCGGTAGTAGTAGTAGTAGTGGTAGTGGTAGTAGTAGTGGTAGTGGTAGTAGTGGTAGTAGTGGTGGTAGTGGTGGTGGTGGTAGTAGTAGTAGTAGTACCATTAGCAGTAGCAGTAGCAGTAGCACTAGCAGTAGTAGTAGTAGTAGTAGTAGTAGTAGTAGTAGTAGTAGTAGCGGCACGGACTCACGCAAACGCACTTGCCACCGAGGTCATGCAAAACCGCATGGCACAGCGACATCATCTTTCGAAAGCTTTAGCTGTTAAATCTGCTGAAGAATCACTAGTCTAATAAAGGCTTTTGTAGGGGAAAAGGAAGACCCTTCGATCAGGAGTTTTTTGAATTTTTGATATGAGTTTAATAAAGGAGCTTATATAGAATTTTATTCCCCACCTGCCAGGTGAGGGTTGTTAGATTTTATCACAGTTGTTCTTCCTCTTCCTTCCTTCCTTCCTTCCTTCCTTCCTTCCTCCTTGCTTCCTTCCTCGCCAACCTCCTCGCCAATCTTCATCGCCAATCTTCATCGCCAATCTTCTTCGCCAATCTGCTTCGCCAATCTGCTTCGCCGATCTTGTCTGGCAAGCTCCGGATCGCAGTGTGCACCCCTGGACCTCAACCGCAAGGATCCGATCGCAGTGTGCACCCTGGACCTCAACCGCAAGGATCCGAGCGCAGTGTGCACCTCTGGACCTCAACAGCAAGGATCCCTCGCAGTGTGCACACCTGGACCTCAACCGCAAGGATCCGATCGCAGTGTGCATCCCTGGACCTCAACCGCAAGGATCCGATCGCAGTGTGCACCCCTGCACCTCAACCGCAAGGATCCGATCGCAGTGTGCACCGCTGGACCTCAACCGCAAGGATCCGATCGCAGTGTGCACCGCTGGACCTCAACCAGATAGTTTGCCAGATAGAATGCCAGGTAGATTGCCAGATAGAATGCTGCAAGAAGATACGCCAGATAGTATGCCAAATAGTGCGTCAGATAGATTGCTAGATACATTGCCAGATAGAATGCCAGAAAAACTGCCAGATAGAATGCCAGATAGAATGACAGATAGTATGCCAGACAAGATGCCAGATAGTATGTCAGATAGATTGCCATATAGAATGGCAGATTGAATGGCAGATAGTATGCTAGATAGTTTGCCAGATAGAATGCAAGAAGATATGCCAGATAGAATGCCAGGTGGGGATCACTCGAAGTAAAGTAATTTGGTTACTTTTTTGTTTTGAAGCTCTTCCCAGGTGACCCTATTTTGGACCACCCCGATTTCGGAGACCCCCTATTTAAAAAAATGCGACCGAGGTTTCTTTATTGAGGGGGGCCCGTGTTTTTTAATAGGAGGACCGGATTACAGAAAATTGGGGGGGCAGGTCTCCAGCCTGAGTTTCTACCCCCATTAGAGAGACAGAGTAAGAGGATGTGCGTGTGTGCGTGTGTAAGGGTCTGAGTTCTTGTTGCGTACCTTGCTGTTCCTGTTGTTTGGGTTGTGGTTGCTGCTGTTGTTGCTGCTGCTGGTGTTGTTGTTGTTGCAGCTGTTGCAACTGGTGGTGGTGGTGGTGGTGGCGGCAGCGTTGCTGAGGATTTGCATTGCAGCATTAAGGCCAACACAGCCTGCTGAAAAGCCAACTACCCAAATCCTGTCAGGTGAGGTAAGGCTATTGTGATGTGCCGTATGCAATTATGTTTGCAATGATTTTCAAAACAAGCCGGCAAGCTTCCAGAGGAAAACAGCTCCCTTGGCTTCTACGCTTCTGTTGTCATGTCTAAAGCACAGGTCTGCGTAGGCTGCTGGGGCAGTTTGCTGCCGAGCTGATCTCAGAAAAAAACGCAAACACATCGTCCATAGTAGTCCTTCCAACCGCTTGAAAAAAGGCAAACGAAAAGGCAAACGTTCTATCTCCCGTCTTTCTCCCAATTGAAGATATTGAAGGCCAATTTCTCCAACGTTGAAGCGCCAACAAAAAATGTTGAAGCGCCAACAAAAAATACAAACAACGAGTTCCATGTCAGCCTCAACTGGTTTATCATGCTAAATCTGCACTCCAAAACCTCTTGAATCTAACCTCACAGAACCTCCTCAAACCCAATGAAACCTTCCGCACTTGGAAATGCTCGGAACCTCCCGGACCCAGACCCTTTCAAAAGGCATTGGGCCGTCACTAATCTACCAAAGCCATTGCCTTCGAAGACTAAAAACCTCCCACTGAGCTTCAAACCTTGGCTACCTTTCAGAACCCAATGAGAGCCCGCCCAAAGCACAGGTGTGTACTTGGAACCTGGCCAGATTTTCCGAGAACCAAGCTGGAGCCTTGCACTTAGCAACCTCTTAGAACCGCAGATTTCACTGTCTTTGATGTTAATGCATCTTGTATAACACCATATAATTACAAACAGTGATGCTTTACATCATTTACAGCAGCAACATGAGCATTTCCGGGAACAACAACTCCCAAACCGCCATCGTGCTCAAAATCTGACTTTAAGCCACTGCCCTATGCTCCATAACTTCGTTGATAAATGGGCAAACCATCTATCTGTCTAGCCTGTTGTTTGTCAGGTTTGCTGCAAACGTGCTTGTCATAAGATCTCAGTGGATTGGGGCGCCATTTTGTGTCGGGAGCCTGAGGTTCTGGTTGGCTGTTGGAGGCCCCAGACTCCAGAACACAAAACTAAATCGGGCGCACGTTTAGCATGATTGTGCGCATGTAAAAACACTGTGTCAAATGCCGGTGCTTTTTTGAAGGTTCCTGGCTTCGCAGTCTGCACATCTTTTCAGCTATGGACATCTGCGGATACCCGGCACAAGTTGGATTAGCTTCATGCCCACACCTACTCCCGGATTGCTCTGACTTGTGGGTGGGCAACTAGTTATACATATACTAATTACATAGGTAGTGACACTATAAATAATATGTAATAACCAACTATATATTCTTATATGTTCATTGTATTGTATTACATTATAAGCTATCTATATATAGCGTCTATTGTATACTGTAGTGTCATGTATTACATTAAATCGAATATTCTACTCTACTTTGACAGCACTTGGCCCTCAAAATAGTACCTTTTTGTGCTGACGCGCCATCTATTATGCAAACAACGCATAAATGCACTTTTTTCCCGTACGGACTCCGATCGGCTGAAAATTCATTAAAAAGGGAGGTGGTGCTCAGGGGAAAGTAGATGGCACTGGTTTTTGGTTTGTGGAAGGAGAGCGGACTGGTGAGCAAAGGAGTCGGCTTTTTCCCATGAGTCGGAGTGGAGAGTAGATGGCGCATTTTTTATGAGACCTAATGGAATTTTAGCCTTGCATGGTGAAAAAACCTACCAATTGAGCCATCTTCCAAACATGGGAGCATCCATGTCCAGCAAGCCGGGGGGCCATCTATATATAGAAAACATTGTGCCATGTACTCCCCGGATAGTGTAGTTGAAAATATATACTATATTAAATTATGCCTATATATTATATAACATGACATGATTCATACACACATCTCGCTCGCTCTCTGTGTATACCTGCGAGTGCACATTTAGAACGAGCACGGTCCGGAATGTACCATTGTTGAGTTGAAATGGATAGAAAGCTCCCTTTGGATAAGCTGCAGTCATACTGTTTTGAATGGAGAATGCCCCGAATCTCCAGTTCTGACGCACCATCACCATCGTCTTGGAAATCCAGGCTGGGAAATGTGAGTTCAAGAAGCACCCACGGGCGGAAGCGCTCAATGGACTTCATGGCACCAAGCATTGCAACCATGACCCCGAAACCACCAGATGCTCCTGCACCAAGTCTCCAAAAATCGAGGCGATCAACCTGAGCAAGCAACTGATCAACTGTCACTACTTTGACTTGTCGAGACTCAGGCTGAAATTGTCGAGAGTCTCCGAAGGACACCTGTGAGCCCCCATTGGCTTCAGCAGAGTCTTTCTTCTCCGGGAGGGCACCTTGGTGCTGACCCAGTGCAGCGTGGAACGTATCAACATTGTAAAGCTGTGCCAAGGCCAGGTTTGCATTGAGAAGCTGTAGATTCATCCTGTTCGGTTCCAACGCTAACACTCGCCCATGTTGAAGTTGCATGGCTAGAGGAATTGTCACAGCTCCGACATTTGCCCCCGCCTCTAGCACTCTAACATTGGGCCTGTTGAGATCAAGTTTCTCATAGATGCGTCTCTCGTGTGGCAACCATTCCCCACAAATCTCGAGAGTGCGCCCAACGGCAATATCAAAAATATTGTATAGCATCGGCCATCCGTGACGAGTAGGCACAAGACGATTAATCGGCTCTGCAAACCCGTGTGCAAAGCTCGGCTGTTCCCACTCTCTGGAAAAACATTTTCTTAACGCATCTTCTACGACTTTGCATGGTGTAGATTGGGTGTTGCCGGGCTTGCTTCTCCAGCAGCTCTCCGCTTGACGGAACTCTACCTCACAGAAGCTGGACCTTTTCCACTGCTCTTGATAAGTTCGTTGCTCTGCACTTTCACTGACTGTAGTGGATGGGACGGCGGGTAGCTCAGAATGCTTGTTGAGGAAGGGCTGCAGAACCTGGATCATTTGCTCTGCAACATGCCACGGTGAAAAAGCAGCTGCAAGGGCCACTCGAACTCGATTCCTTTCTGCAGCTGTGGGAGGTGAGCCCCAAATCTCCAGTAAAGCTTCCACTGCTGCTGCCCCATCTGGAGGTGTCCAGGAGCCTGGACGATCACTGCGGCCTCCACTTGGGGATTGTCTCGGAGTCGGAAGGAGAACCCTCCCAAGCAGGACATTCTCAGCCATGGCTGTGGCGCCATTCACCACAACAGGAGTGCCACATGCCTGTGCTTCAAGCACAGGTAGTCCAAAACCTTCTGCACGGCTTAGCTGTAGCAAAACATCGCTTGCACTGTAGAGGTTGCGCAACATCTCCGGGGATAGGTTCTCCTGACTGCTAGATGCTCCCCCCTGCCGTTCCACAGACAAACCGGCCTCTCTGAGGAGAGATGGAATGTCAACTGCGCCATGTAAATCGGAATGAACGTGCAGGTGTGCAGTGGAGACACAGGGAGAAGTACATATTTGCGAGAGTCGTGCCTTGAAGCGGGCAAATGCCCTGATGGCAGCCCGATGAGATTTGCGATTTGCTTCCGAGCTTGGCGGGGGTGGGTTTCGTCCAACCAATAGAACAACAAATGCATTCATTGGGATCCCAAATGACTGTCGAAGCTCTTTGCGTGACTGACTCTCAAAGGCCAGGGGCCCTTCTCCAAATGCAGGGTTCAATGCATGTGGAATGTGGCCCAGCAAAGGGGGGAGCCAGCGTGCTAGGACTTGGCCGCGTTGTGTGCCAGTCACAGTGCTCACAGCCAGGCTTGCCAAAGCCCTTTCATAGACACCGCGGCCCCACAGCGACATAGCTATAACTCCGCTAAACATCTCTAGCGCAGCGCCAGAACGATCAGGCCTCTCTGGATCATCACTGAGCAAGGGGTCGAACAGTATGGGCAGCCAAGCGACCATCGGCGGCAAACATGCATTGCGCACATCGGTGGGAGGGGGCCCCAGCCACCAAGCATCGTGCAAATGCAGGAGCACATCAGGCTTTCGGAAGGAGCAAAGCAAGCCCTTTGCAGTGCATTTTTGTGACTCTGAAGAGAAGAGCTCTATGGCTCTAGTGATCTCCAGCCACCCCAAGCCGTCTTCATACCCAGTCGGTGGTGCTACCCTTGAAGTGACAATCGGAACACCTGGTAGCAAAGCACGAGGGTCCCCACCAGCATGGCTCAAGGCTTCAGCTCTGAGACCCTTGCGGCTCAGAAGCGCCTCTAAGTCCTTACAAGGACCTTCCCCTCTATGACGCAAATTCCATGCGAGAAGCTGGACGTGCCAATTTCTCGACTGCAGTTGTGCCACTAGAAGTTGGACTTGGCCTCCGTACCCAGTGCGGCTTACTGGATGAAGTGAAGATAGGAGCACAGATGGAGCAAACTCCGAGTGTGCTGAAGTGGCTGTTGACAAGCAAATGGCCAGGACAGTGAAACGTTTTTCAGAGATCATATTCTTGGGCCAAAGTACTGTAAGCTACGTGTTGTGTCCAACATGTTTTCTCAGGTTTGGTGGATCAGCGGCTTGCCACCATAAGAGCATAAGTGTTGTCTTCAAGGTTCCCGTCCTTGCGCATGTCGATAAGCTGCTGCGCTAGCATGCCAGTCTGGCTGCGAAGGAGTTTCCTGCCCACATATCCGATACATTTCTGAATCTGCAATCCACAAACCGCATTAGCAAAGCATGCAAGCTGCAAGATTTAAAAAAAATCCCCGAGCAGGTGATCTCAGGAAGTTGGAAAGGTCCCGACAATGCTGCCCAAAGCAAGATGCCATGTGATTCTGATTTATGGAATATTAAGTTACACTAAAATAAGAATCAATCTAGGAACCAAATCTCAATCATGGAAGGAATTCTTCAACACAGCTCCCGCCACTCTCTCAGGTGCTGGGAGTTTCAAGCCTGAACTCTTCTGCTACATAAGCTATTAAAGCCGCCTTTCCATCACCCAAAAAATCATTAATATACGTTAATCAAGTTATAACCAAAACAACATGGGCCAAGGAGCCATTGTGTCATCATCAGGTCAACTTGCTTCTGGTCCTTGGGATACGCAAACGTGCGTGGTGTACAACGAATATGGTGGTGAAGGTGTGCGTGCATGCAGCTGTGAGCAATTCGAACACTTACGTGGAAAGTTCGTGAGCGCGCCTGGATGAGGTGATGAGCTTTCTCAGTGGTTGCGTGTAGGCAGTGTGTTTCAGGCCCAAACTGGTGGTATCACAAAGCCTTGCGACCGACTACAATCTCGTTCTTTCTGCGACTGTGTTTGTCAACCTGGATATGTCACAGGCACCCGATCTCCACACCTTGTTTGATCTGCAATTGGGGGGATGGCGGCGCACACCCCGTCGTTTCCTTCTCTGCCTTAGCATGCCAGCTTCCACCTGCACAACCGTTGAATCTTTGGCTCTAGCGCGGGCAGGGCGAAGCTTCAGGTAACCATAGGTAACCTATATACCACACTCAAACTCTAGTGCCCGAACAATGACAAAAACTGGCGAGTCATTGAACCATGATCGCATGTGCTGCACAAGGATGCCAACTAGTCAACTAGCATATAAAATTTAATGCACATGCTGCATGCTGCACAATTGACGTTGGTGAAAATCAATTGGCGCAACAAAATTGTTCAAAAGTGGCGCAAAGGATATGAAGTTAATTGTCGCAACACTGCACGAACGAGATTAAACACCCTCACAGCTAGCAATGGACACATGACTGTCATTCAACGTGACTGGACTGTGACTTCTGATATCCAACGCCCAAATTTAGCTAAGTGTCGACAGACTCCAGTTCCTGAACCCACTCCAGGTGCTGGCGTGCCAAATCCGCAGCTGCTACAGAAACAAAGGACGTTGCGCATCCTGCTACAGCAAAAAAAGAAAGGGCTGAACATGGCTGAACCAGTTTGATGGTGACTGATCAAAATGTTTCTTCATGATGTTTGCAGAAGCTTTGGACAACAACCAAAACATCATGCAGCTGGCCTGACATTCATGTCATCTAAGGGCATGTGCCAGAAACGAGTCGCATGGACGGTTGCATTCAGAAACTCTATGGCTGTAGTCAGAACAGGCATTCGGAAACCGCAGGATTCTATTCGGAAACCAAGTTTCACGCCAGCTATTGCCCCCGCCGACACTGGAGAACGCATCAACAGTCCGGTCCACGCAAGTACCCACCAAAGTCCATCTCCCCTGCCCCCCCCATGCCAAAGAACACATCTGTCCACTCAACGATCCACCAAAGTTTATTGCCCCTGCCAGCCACACCCCCGACCCCGTCCCGCCCCTTCATGCCAAAGAACACATCAGCAGGTCCACGCAACTATCCACCAAAGTTTAAGACCCCCCTGCCATCCCCTGGGCCTTTATTCATCGAAGTAACTTGTCTGAATGCAACGAACTACAGTAGTTTCTGAATACAACGAACATAGCTTCGAAACGTGAATCCCAGACTTTCTGAATACAACAAGTGTCTAGGTATTTACAACGCAAATTCTGAATGCGAGTTTGCTTCCAATTCGTCCGGGGCTGCCGTTGTGGTGATGTGGAGGAGCCCGACGTCGCCGACATCATTTGGCGGGTGGCGAGCGGGAGGGGGACCAGGTGTTGGATGAGGGCCGTTTTGCAGAGCAGGGCTGCATGCGTGCAGCAGGCTGGCCTTGGCATTGGGTGGCAAGGGCACTTCTCCTGAGTGGCTGGGCTGCGGTCACAAGGTTTTTGGTGTTTTTTTGGTCATGGTGTGGGCAACACGACCAAGATCCTCAGCTACATGGGCAACAATTCGTTCCTCCTTGCAAGGGTCCCAAAACGATGCGCTTGAGCCCCTGCTTGCTTGCGTTGAAGGGGCAGGCTAGCGTCACTGCCCGTAACCTTCAGAGTGATGCAGTGAGCAAGCCTGGCGGCATTGGCTTTCCTTTCAACGCGCTCGAGGCTTTGAGCTTCCTCCATCGCCGTCGCCAGTCGGGAGAGTTGATGGAACGCCTCATCATGCATGCATGCGCGCGAGCTCATCGAGGAGTGATGGAAGAGAAAGACTCCACCCTTAGTTGTTGACCGTTTCTTGGTGGGGGCTACATTTTGGATCACGCTGAGCTGATGCTCAAGGACCTGCGATTGGCAGTCGCTGTGGCTCTGTGGGTCCCAGCCTTCGTGTTCGCAAGTTCAATAATGAGCCTTCAAATGATCGAAAAGAAAGAGCCAGGTAGTGATAGTGCGGATCTTCTGCGTGAGATTATACTCGAGTTCATCCTCCTCACTACAAACAGGTATCAGCCACCAATCTGGGCCGGCTCAGTCAACATGATTCCTTTTAATGATTTTTAATGTGTTCCGGGGAGCAGTGGATTGTAAGTCGTTGGGGCAAGTCACCACTTCAGTTCAAGGCGTGATGAATCCTCTACCTCCGACTTTGTTGGCCCAGTTGATCGCAGTGAGGTTTGCTCATCAGTTGATCTGGAGCATGATGAGCAAAAACACATGGAGCACACACGACCACTCCAACTACATCATCAAGAATCAAGGCGACGCGGGCCCTGGAGGTCCTGGAGGTCGAGCGCGCACTGCGACGAGCACCAGGAGCAACAAGAAGATCGTCAGAGCTACAATGCAGCTACAAGTACCGCCCGCCCGCATCCGAGAACAACAAAGGGGGCAGCATGTTTGCGGAACCCGGCAAACCAGGCAACATCTTGGCGCCTCAAAATAGCACATCATTTGCAGGACCTCTTGCCTCCCAACTCTTCCACTAGTAGCGTCCTTGTTCCTATGTTCCGGTGGGAGGGTGAACCAATATGGTGAAAAGCGCACGGACGATTGCAGAAACTGACCGTCAAGCAGGAGATGGCCACGGGCGGGGGTGGGTCCTACAGCTCGAACGGCGGGGGTGGCAAAGATGGGATTGAAACCAACCGCATGAAGAAAATGTTGGGTGCGATTGAAAAAATGTTCGTCGAAACTGCCTTTGACACGCGTCACTCGGATATCTTGCCTCAGGATCGGCACAAAGACCACCAACTCCTTTTTCGGTGCCAGGACCACACTGTTACCGTCGGTGGGCGTCACGAAGGACAAAGGAAACAAGGCGCTTTTAAACGTCATGACCAGCAACGAAGCGCCTCTCAAGCAAGATCCGGTGTGGGCAACATCGAGCGAGTCAGAGGAAGAACAATCCGAAGTCAAGGCACAGAGTAGGCATAGGGCGCAGGCAGGGGCGTCGAAACTCACTCTTGGACTCTTCATTTACCGATTCGATCGCTGAGTCATTTTTGTCCTTCTTCCCTTCGTTGAGGTGCACCTGTGTACACCAGAAAGGCGCCGTGCGCATGTCAATGAACACGAAACCATACGCAACCCTTTTCAAAAAACTATTTCAAAGATCCGGTATGTTTGTCTGTCGAGCTGTCGAACTTTGCGAAAATAGTGCATTGTTTCATTCGGGCCGCGCAGTCTAGCATTGCTGGTGGTACGGTGCTGGAAACTGTATTGGGCACGCTGTTTCCGGCGCAGACGCAAAGCACATTGAAACCCGAACATCATTCTTGCAAGCCCCATTTTTCCCCGGCGAAAATGCACCAAACTCATCCTGCACGGCTGTGTTCACGAACTCCAGGAGTTGAGAAGGTCTCATCAACAAATGGCGAGTTGAAGGCCTTTGACAAAAATTGCTCTTTCTGAAATTGACGGCGTCCAGAAAATACATTGAACAACTCAAGCTAGACGACAGAGTGGCCCGACAGCACAGCAGGACTTTGATATTTAAAGTATATACTTTAACGGATGTTTGGAGATTGGACATTATACAGAACACAGTGAAGTGAGCCTGTATAAATTATACCGGCTCACTTCACTGTGTTCTTCTACAAAAAATGAAAATGATGGTGCAAACTGATGATGAAAATGTCAAGCCTGATGACACTATAAATCTGAACAAGCCTGGTTTGGAGAAATCCCACCCACTCGAAAGGTTGAAGGCGTCCTGCTCCAAACCTCCACACAACTATGCCGGGAAGGATGGCCACAAGATATGAGATGAAGTTCATAAGAAACCCATGCGTGGACAAGCAATGAGATAGTTTGCAGCTAGGCTACAACCGATATTTCAAAGTTCCATCGCATCTACTTCTGTGGTTGCACAACTTGCAACGCACTAATTAAGTGTAATTACATCCTCTGGATCCTCTGGCTGAAGCCTGAATCGTATCCATTGACCTGCGCCACTGATTCCAGCTTAGGCTGAGCTGGTGCAACACCCTATTATTAAACTCACTGGAGGACGCTTGAAGGCCAGGTGCGTCTGCTGCAACCCAAACCTTGGAGGGCATATGGCAGCTGGCGGCATACCATGGTGGTTCTTTGGCTGGAGTCTGAGAGCCACCGACCAGAGCGATCGTGCACGTGCCAGCCTGTTGTGAAGCCTCGGGCTAGCAACGCTTGATGAGCATTTGCGCCCCGGCTTAAGGCTGCACGAAGTTCTGCGTCAGAGACTGCGGGCACGGCAGCGCAGCGTGCCCTTTTGCTGC